TCCACAGACTCGAGATACACCCTGCCGAACACGCTACTGTGCTAACAAGACCTGCTGTTGAGCAGCTGCTGGTATAGGGGCCTTGAACCTTAAGGACTAAGTCTGAAGCGTTTTTCGCCTTAAAACAACAAACATAGAACCCCATAAGCCCCCTGGACAACTTCCATGTCCATCTGGAGGAAGGACGGTGTGCCAATGCCCTGAGCCCACACCTTCAATGAAATCATAGACCTCAAAACCCAAAAATTTAGGGCCGAGGCACGGAGTGTTTCTTTGGCTTTCTGGCCTTCGATCATGTTTGTGGTACTCATGTTTTGGTGCTCATGTACTCTGCAGCAAGCAAGTCTCAAATCGTAATCCCTCACTCCTGGCCCTCAATCCCGAAACCCAAAATGCAAATCCCAAAAGCTCTAAACCCTTCATCCTCAACCCAAATTCCTACGTTAGCCCGACAACCCCTTAAGCCTCAAGCCCTCAACTGAACCCACCCCCCACTCCCCGCTCACCACCTTTTTCGGTATCAACTTCTTTGGCTGCGTGAGCTTCTTCGGCTCAAGCACCTCCTCATCGCAGGGCTTTGGGCTACTGTCAGAGGTCCACATGAAGGATTATATACAAAACTTCCGTTGAGGTTTTGGATTTCAAATCTCTGCCTTCAGGTCTGTCATTACCATGCAAGCGGGGCGCGGTGGGTCCCATTGTCGGATCTATACACAAATTTGCCCTTGATGCAAAGATGTATCGCGGGGGTGCCTATGGGGATTCTCGGACCAGAAACATATTGATGACATGGCCAAGCTCGCGCAGGGGTTGAGGAGCTAGTAGAACCTTCCCTTCATTCGCCTGCTACCCAGAGCTCTAAAATGCTTCAACCCCAAGCCAAAAACTTTAAGTAGTACATGAGCCCCGACTCATTGTAAGAAACCCCAACATGAACCCAGGCTTCATACCCTCAGAAAAATTTGGCAGATCTCTGTGGACATGGGGACAACGAATAAGCTGGATTGCCTTGAAATGAAGCCTTGGAGACGTGTGTAGCGATCACAGGAGGACTAGGGGTTGCCGCACGTCCCAAGATCTTCCACCCTTTAGCCTCAGCCCGCCACGCTACATTCCCTATTTTGAGTGCAAAGCCTTTCAGGCCTCCTCTGGCGGCGCCTCTGGGACGGGCCACCGGAAGACCTCCACGTCCTCCTCTGAGGAAAGCTCCTGTGTCGGCTCCTTGGCTGTGGTTCGAGGCAGAAGTTACCACAAGCCAAATGTGCATTCTCTGCAAGTGCTCCCAAAACACAGGCCATAAGAAGCAGATGTTCTTCAGACTTGGACACGACACCCTCCATCCTGAAAAAGAAAATAGAAATGTTTCTCTGTTTGGTGGCAACCCATGCTTCTTCCGAATATCTGCAGGAACCAAAACACGTCTGACCCTTTTTCCCTGCTGAGGGGCTTCTATCGCTCTTGCCTTTGGGATGAGGCGTCTTGGTGACTTCCCGCGCTTCACGGCCACAGGACTTCCCATCTTTGCACGCTCTCGACCTCTTGCCGCAAGATGTAAACTCAGAATCATGGTCCCTTGTGTCAAGGGGACCTCAGAACCCCTACACTGCCCTACACTTTGGAAGTGCGGATTGATTTGTTCGAAACAACAGCAATAGAGTAAGAAGAATGTGGAAATGCTGGTTTCATGGGCTTCTCGGATCACATTTTCCAGACATTGCCTTTGGGTACCAGGCGCTTCTTTTTGCTGTTGGTCTCGTCTGTCTCCAGCTGCCGCGTCTCCTCGGGAACATCTGCTGCCTCTGCGGGATCATACTGCTGGAAGTCTGTATCGTCGAGGAGGCTGGTCCTTCCTGGGTTGCCACATCCATTCAATCCCCAAGCAGGGCTCGATCATCCCAAAAGACTGCAAAGAAAAGGTGGGAGTTCGTATGAACATTATACCCCCTGGATCTGCCAAATGGCTTGATACTCTCGACGCCCCAAAAAGGTGAAACTTCCCAAGCACCCAGAACGTCGCAAGATATTTCGAAAAATGTAAAGCATGCATAATCAGATGCGAAGTTACGAATGTCACAGACATCCATGGTGGGCTCTGGCCAAACCTCTGCAGACAGCTTCGGCTCAGGAGTTTCAGGAACTGCCGCGCTTGGTGCCAGCCGCTTCCGACAGCGCCAAGATATCACCTGGGGCTTTCTGAGAACAGGAATATCTTCAAACATCCAAGGAAAGATAAAGGGATTGCCAAGGTCCCCCTTGCGCGGATCATGTTGTCAAATTGCATGGGTAGGAGATTTTGATAGTTACGGGCCTGTGCGACTGGGCGCGAATAGACTTAAAAACAAGCTCAGTGCAAGGCTTAAGGTTTTGGATACTCTTGGAGAGGCCAAAGCTTTATTGGAGAGGCCAAAGCTTTATCCGGACGAGGATGGGGTCCTGAAAAACAGGCGCAAAGTTTCACCAAGAATGATCCAGCCACGCAGAGGCAGGTGGGAAACAGCAGGGCTGCAAATCCAATCACAATCAGCAAGGCTGTCGAGTCCGCGGTTGTTTGTGCAACGAGCTCCTTACTCGCCCATGCTTTCTCATGAGCAGAAAACTTAAAACCCTTTTATTCTAGCAGCGGGGCTTGCTAACTTGGAAAGCAAAAGGTGATGCTGGACTTCAAAGGCTCTGCTGCTTCAGCGGACAGAGACAATGCAACACTCTTCGTGGCCACCGCCACCTCCAAGCCGTGCAAAGCCGGAACTTGAGCAACTTCTTCCTTGAGCCATCTTGTGGCTGCCTCCACCGTAACCTGCGACGCCATTACAGATGAAATTTTGCAAGTTTGACATGATCAGAGGCTGAAAGCTATCCAAAAACAGTTCTGCCAGCCATCGCTCCAGACTATCAAAGCTAACAAAGCCCTAGTAGCCGTCTCTAAGCCCTTCTGGCTTGTTTCCGCAAGTGCGACAGCCACCGCAAGGCCAAGGGAGGTAGGAAACACCTCAGCTAAGCCATGTCAGAAAAGGAGATCGACCATGCGCCTACACCTGAACTTGCATGGATCGCGTTTCACATGCAAGCTTCTGGGCATCAGGAATCAAGCGCATAGTACGTTGAGAGCTAGTGTTCAAGGTTTGCCCTTCCGCCAGCTTACCCTACATATCCGATATTACCTCTCTGCGCGGAAGGGCTTCAGGACACGAGACTAGCTAAATCTTGACCCAATTTGCATCCAGTCCAAAGCCCTAAACCACCTTATTTCGTTAGTCCTCGATCCTGCCATTCCCTGGCAAAGATTAAAGGGCTGCTCTCTGTAAGGAATAAATGGAGCCATCCCACACTACGCCTTTTTCTGGATGCAAATAGCTTTCGGTTGACACCCCCTGCGAGGAAGGACTTCAAGGGTCCAGCTAAGCCCATCAAAGCCGCGATGAGATAGTCGACTCGCAGGCTCTCCTGCTGCTGGAGCCGGCGAGCTTCGAAAAGCAGGCGGCCGGCGTCGCAGCCCGAGCCTCCAGGCAGAAGAGACATTGAAGTACATTTCATCTGCCCTAGGTGCCTTTTTTCGCGGCTCGAGGGATACATAAGGCTATTTGTTGCCACTTACATGGCCATGCAGCATCGCAAGGTGAGAATCCTGGGTCAGACGACGCAACTACACATCTCGAGAAGCAGAAAGTGTTAGGGGAGAAATGGCTGTCGCCAGACTACTGCACCGATGCTCATTGGAACTTGACACACAGGGATACTGAGGGTTTAGGTTGAAGTACTGGGCTGCTGTGAATGAGTTTAGATTGAGTTACTACAAGGGGTGTACTTGATTCAGGAAGGCAACCCAGGGTAGGATGGGCGAGTGGGCTTCATTCAGGGTTTCGCGTTTTAGGGTTGATCGTTGAGCGTTAGAATTCACTGACGACAAACCGACATGCGGCACTGTTACCTTCAGGACAGCCGTGGCAAGACCAGAGGGTATTACCAAACGAACTGACTGCTGCATCCTTCAGCGCGGAATTCGATAACGCGGGTGGGAAGACTTCTGTTGGCGTTTCATGTCCATGAGGGTAATCCAATGAATTTAAGCGTTGCGGGCCTGAGAAAAAGTTGGACTGGGATCTCACTTCTCTCAGTCAGATTCCTCCGCATCCACCCAGCAGGCGCGTAAAGTTGGCTTAAAGTAAGGCTTCAGGTCTTTGGCTGGCAACTTTGCCAAATTTTGGGATTCCGGCATCTTCAAGGAAGTTGAGGATTTACGGCTTCAGGGTTTACAGAACCTCGCTCAGTGTGAGTAGCTGGGCTGAAACGTACTAAAATAAGTTTTGGGCACATCTCCCAGTAACTCTGAGGCACCAACCTGCCAAGAAGTTTAGATCCACCACCTGCGGCTGGCCACGCTTAGGGCTTGGCATTGAGGTCCTCTTTCTGTCAAGGGGGTTAGGATTTGAGGGCTCCTTCCTGTTGAAATGCGATTTCGTGTTATCTAGCTCGACTCGTACTAGGGCTGCTTCAACTTCTACCTCTGGCTGCGCCAAAAGAAAAGCCTCCGGTTGCTCCGCTAATATACAGTACGGGCCCTTTGTAGAATACGAGCATCCCAGCATCAACTTAAGATCTGTCTGTTCAAAGTACCGCCAGCATATCTGTACCCCCTGCTATGGGGCAGGAACTATAGAAAAGAACATGATTGCTTTCGGGGATTTCCTAGTTTAGCTCTTGTAGAGGCACATGAAAAGTAGTAGCACGAACCCTGAATCTGGAGGCCCTAACCCAGGAGTGCTAAGGCACCATCGACACTCGCATAGGCTCCCCGGATTGCCGATTTCAAGTTTTACTTTGGGCTTGGGCATCAGCCGCTGGAAGGATGTTTTGTGGCTCAAGGGTTGTAGTTGCTTATGGTGTAGGCTTGAGGTACATGTCGTGGGTTCGAGTGGCAAGCATGGTTCTTAACTTCGAGGGGTATTACCCAGATGCTAAGAATCCAAAATCCCAGCTTTGGATCTTCAGCTGCTCTGAATGCTTTTGCTGCCTTTTGACGCTCTCCACGCCATCCCCGTAAAGCTGCATTAATCGAGGTGCGACGACAATTTACCAACAAACGCCACCCAAATGCTGCACAAGCCGCGTACTCTGGCAGCACCTCCGGCCCGGCAGCTTTGGCGAGCACCACACGCAAGGCATCGCGGAACTCGGGTGAATCCGCTGCAGTCCTGGGCTAGATTTTCAAGGCCCCGAAGCAGCACAAACCCCATGATAAGGAGTGGTCGATATGAATCAAGGTCAATGGCTTGGCTCTTGCGGGGTATTGCTTCCTCTCTCTTTCGTACTCGGCTCCATCAAGAATCCGTCAACTGCTGTCCATAGGCGAAGCTACGTTGGAGTACTCTCATGACTGCTAAAGCATCTCTTTAGATACAGTTGCCTGGGGCCATCTCCCCCACACTTACCCCTTCAGACACTTGGAGCTCATGGTTTGTGCAGAGGAAGGAGCAGCACACAATACATGCCCCTGCGCGGTCTGCATGGCCTCTTTGTCCAAGGGGTGGGGTTGAAAGCAACCCTTTTCATTGAGACCTCCAACCCCAATGCATCACCCAGATATTACAGCCCTAGTGAGAACAAGAACAAGAAGACCACCGCATTTTGGGGTCAGCGCAGAACCCACTGCTGCTTCAAGCTGAACTTCGAGAACAGCCGATGTAGGAATTTCAAGGACTTTCACAACGTCCTGACTAATGACCAACACACAGAAATCCAAAAGCCAGGCGCGTGACTATTAGTGCGTTCTCATCTCAAGTCCTGGCTTAATGTTGAGCTAGCATTAAATATGGGAGTTTCCCAAGATTAGGGGTACCATTTTGGGGGTCCCTATAATGAGGACTATAGTATTTTGGGGTCTATGTAGGGGTCCCCCTATTTTGGGAAACTACCATGTTTCCTCCGGGCCACAAAAAGTCAAGACGACTGCTTTTGCCTTCTAACAAGTTCAGAGCTGGAAAACCGACAAACAAGTTCGATCGGCAATAATAAAGGGTTGACAGTAATAACCCCGCGTCAGAGAATATCCTTCCACCTGTACTGCTATAGCACTACAACCTGTACCACGTAGTCTACCCCCCCACCCCCCTCTTTCATCATTGCAACCCCACGCCCTCCAGACAAAAATTGTGAAACAATTGTTGGGGGCGGACGATTCTTTAGTGTCAGTGAAACACTCCTGGTTGGAGTGGGTCTAGGTGGCCCAGCAATCATAAAACCACAGGTCGAAGCCTCAACCGCGCAGTCTCTGCGCTCTCAACAGGGAAATGACGAGCTGCGAGGCATCGGAGACTGCAAGGCCCAAGCACCCATCCAGCCTGCATCGTGTCAGAGGCCAAGGTTTCACGTTCTTGGTGACTTGGGGGTCTCATGTAAGGTGCTTCCAACAAGGAGGACGGATTTGTCGAGCTCAAATAGTTGATTGGCTAAATTTTTCAACGCAAACAATCGAACAAGGTTGCAGGCTCTTGCGGGAGGCTGCCAACTTGCCAACGTTACGGTCCCTATAACTACTTTGTCCCTGCAAGGAGGTACAAAAGGAGTGATTCATTCTAACGGTCGTAGGTTGAGTCTGAATGCATGTTCTACACAGGGTTTGAACGCCCCTCTCGGCGACATCTCCCCAAAAATCCTGACAACCTGCTTTGGTGTTAGGCTGTCTGCTAGGATTTGGGATTTCTCGTCAAGGTTTGGGATTGTGGAAGGTACTCCCCTCCGCCCTCATACTGGCCCCCGCAAGCCACGCATCCATTTTGGGCCTTTGAGGGAACTTGCAAGTATGACTTGGAAGTATGTAGAAGCCGGTCAAGCGACTCGCATGTTTAAACATGGTCCAGTGCCTCTTCAGGGAAGGGGGGATGGGGGGGCGGCTATGCAATGGTAATAATATGAGCCTTTTGGGGGGATGAGGTGGGGAGAAGTCTTGAGTATGTAAGATTTGTATGAGGTAATCCGCCCACTCATATTGTCCTAGACATACGGGGCTTCATAGGAGATCCTATATCACAGGCTGCTTTCAGAAGGGACCCCAAAGGTTTCGGAAACCCCCACATGTTATCCAACACCAACCCAGCGGCGTGGCAGCACCAGGAGTTGTCGTCTCCGTAGTGGACCTGCGTGGCAGAATCTCTTATTCAAGGCCTTTAGGGTTTGAAAGTTGTGCGCTGTACGCAGCGGGTGTTAGAGTTCTCGTCAGGGTTCAGGACCTGGTGGTTGGTTTCATCTACGCAGGGCCATACTCGACGAAGACAGAGCTCATACTGCCGCCGCACAACCACGCGGAAAGGAGGGGACACGCGGTGACATTCTGTTGCACAGCATACAGAAGTTGAGAATTGTTCTCAGCATGATGTGTTACAAGAATGAAATCGGCTGCCCAACTTTAGGCGGCAGCCAATGGCTTGGGGTACTGACAGCGGCACCTACACTTAGGGAAGTGGCCTATAAGCGTACAACGCAGGCACCTGGTAAGAAGTTGTAGCCTTACCCTTGCCGCTGCACTGCTATAACACTGACAAAGCACCCACTGAACTTCTCCTGACAAGCTGCGTCATCGTTGTGGTGGACGTGGAGAATGTAACCTTGTGAAGGAGTGCAGTGCTGCTGTGCAAGGGACGGGGTGGTGATTTTTTCGGCCAGCTGTGGGCATTAGCATCAGGTTGCCATAGATCGACCTCAAGAAGCAGGGATGTCCTTTGTAGCCCCCGAAAAATGCTGTCGGCTATCGATCCGGGGAATCATGGCCCGCGAGCACCACTCCTCATTGTTCAGGGGTTTCAGGCAAGGGCGAAGGCACAACATTGCGCGCAAGTCCTCGACAGCGTCATGCCGAAATGGGCCTGCTTCTCAATGCAATCATCAAAACTGTCTGCGTCAGTGAGCACTGCAGCCACACTGCGGCTAGACATATGCATGGCCTCACACAAGCAGTGAAGATGGTGTGATCGCAGTACCTGGATCCTCAACCCCAGCCATAAGCCCCCACAATACCTCTGAACCCGTTGTTTCAAGGCCGAAGCCAACAGCCCAATACCCCAGCCCTGAATGCTCCGAACACCTTTAAAGCAATTTCGACTAAGTCGGATCTGGGCGCAGTGGTTGTGCTGGTCAAGGTAAAAGTGGTTGATGTTGTGGTGGTCGTCACTACCCCTGGCTTGCGGCTTGTGTCCAGATTTTGATGGTTCCTTATAGCTTTGGGGGTTTCATCGCTGGCATAGTTTGACTTGGGGGGTTCAACGCGGAGCCTGTCGGCCCTCGAATTTGGGAATGACGTCGTCAAGGGTTGCTGTAGGCTTGGACGGCAGGAGGATGATTTCTCCTCCCGTCTTGCCCCCTAAACCCTAAACCCTAAACCGTTGCAGGGAGAAAGGATATCCAAGAAGCTGACTCACCCTGGAAAAGAAAACCCTGGGCATAAGCAGGATTCGCTTGGCGCCAGACATTTACTGTTGCAGAGGTGGGCGCCCACCCGCATGCATCTCAAGCGACCAAGGAGGTATATAAAACCCCCGAAATCCCTTTAGGAACGCCATTCAAGGTAATGATTCTCCAGCAACTTTCATCCCGGCAGTTCACGTCTTATAGCCCTGCCTGCAGAATAACCCTTACCACCTGGCAAGGACACAACATGAAGGGACATCCTAAGAAGATGCCTGTATGACCACAAATAGGAATTTCATGAGGCATGCTACCATTCACATGGTTCATGGCTGAGAGTGAGTAGGTGACGTACTTGGCTGTGCTGAGAAGCTGTTTTGTTCATACACCCGCTCAAAAACTCAAAAAAAGCCACAGATAGTGCAAGCCCCGTACATCGAAGCAACACCGCCGTAAACACAAACCCCAGTTTAACCCTCCTACCCCAAACTACCCCTAGATACCACAGACATTCGAGTTAACATCCTCAACCAACCCCCCCCCCCTCCCAACAGCTGTTCAGAGGCATGGCACGTCGAAAGAGGGGCAGAACTGGTCCCGGAAGGCTTGTGGCGCCCTGACATAAAGACTTGTGGGCACCCAGCTATGAAAATGGCATGGCATCAGCTGTGAGCGGGATAGTAGGGAGAATGTAGTGCACATTCGAGAGCCACTCTGCTGGCTTACCGGCATCTGTCAACATAAGGCCAGGTCATGAGATTGAGCGAAAAATCTGTGTTTGAACATAAATACCTGCATAGGCCACAATAAAACTCGGCGCACCTGCCAACAAAGCCTGCTAGCCGAAATTTGCATAGTGCACACAAACGCATACCACTGGAAAGGCTCACCTGACGCCCTCAGGGACAATGACCATCACTCCTACCGTCTACCCTTCGAGGATTGCCAGACAAGAAGTCCCTGAGCTTGAGACCCCCAAGAAACCATCCCCACACGGAGCTCTGCAGAGTCTTTCGCTGACAAACCAGGCAAAATCCTGGGACAACCTTCAAACAATGTCTGCCCGCCTGGAAAGGAACAATGACAACTCCCACAGTAGCCTGTTGCAAGAGAGATGTTGCATCAGCCATGTGAGGAAAACATCACACTTCCAAGGGTTCAGTGCAAATGTCAACGAAGTGATAGAGGCTTGAATAATAGGATTCGGGGAACAGAAGAACAAGGATTTAGGGTTTGGGGGTGGAAGGTGTCCGTGTTCCCTACCCACCTGCTTGGCCAACCCAACTGGCCATCCTGAAGAATACCGGCTACGGCACAGACAAGAATTATAGCAAAAAATGTCTGAGGGCTTGTAGCGTCATTGAAATGACAGTATGGAAATCCCTGTGTCGGAACGCATCCAACCAACTACCAGTTGCCATGCCCAGTCTATGTAACCACTGTTTCCGTGTTGTCTTCCATTTTCTTTCCCAATTGATTCGGCAGGGAATAATCTCTCTAAACCCTCAAACCTTGCATAGCAGCTTCCATTTCATCTTCCACGTTATTTCCTATTTGATTCTCCATCATGGGGAAAATACTGTAAGCCCTATACCATAAATAGTATAGTAGGGCCCGTTTCATCTTCCATCTATTTTTCCATGTTAATCTGCATTCTGGGGATGATATCCCTAAACCCTGCACCCTAAATAGTAGAGTAGCGTCCGTTTCATCTTACATGTCAATTTTTCCCTTTGATTCCCCATTACGTGGATAACATTCCTAGACCTACAATAAGATAGTAGCTTCAATTTCAAGTTCCATTTCTGATTCTCCACTCCGGGAAGTGTTCCACAGACCCTTAGCCCTAAAACTTAAATAAACCCTAAGTAATACAGCAGCTTCCGTTTCGTCTTCCATTTTCTTGTCCATTTGATTCTCCTTTGTGATGATAACATCAGCAAACTCTAAACCCTCAAACCCTAAATTGTATAGAAACTTCTGTTGTATCTTCCAGGTTCGCCCCCATTTGGTTTTTCATTATGATGATAGCATCCCTAAATTCTAAACCCTTAAGCCTGAATAGCATAGCAGCATCCATTTCAGCTTCCGTGTTCCTTTCCATTTGATTCTCCATCATGGGGATAATATCCCTAAACCCTAAACAGCGAAGTAGCTTCTGTTTCATGTCGCATGTTGTTTTTTTATTTGGTTCCCTCCCATGGGGACGGTATCACTTTTGCATGGTCCGGCCGGCCTGCGGGCCCCTACCATGCCTAAACCCTGAAGCCTAAACAGCATAGTAGCTACCGTTTCGTCATCCATGGTATTGGCTACTTGGTTCTCAATTATGGGGGCAATACGCCTAAACCCTAAACCCGAATAGTGTAATAGCTTCCAGTTCTTTTGTGCTCTTTTCCAGTTGATTGTTCATTATGGGGACCATATCCCCAAACCTTACGCCCTGTATTTTCGATGCTGTTGTCCATTTGACATTTGACTCTCCATTGCAGGGATCATACCCCATAACCCCAATGTAAACCAACCCTTTAAGATCGTAGTTTCCATGTGCTCTTCCATTATCCCTGTAAATCCCCCATAGACCCTCTTGATAACCCTAAACCCTATAGTCCCCCTTAAGTAGATAGAATATGGGGTATATGGGGCCCTTACTATAATATACCCAAAGCCATATTCTATCTACTTAAGGGGGACTATCAACCCATATAATCCAAAAGTTCATGCCAAAATGTGCAGAAAGGTGGCTTCCGGTATAGCCACATCACCAAGGTCCAAGGAATACCAGGATGGGTGGCAGCCTTGACACTATGGTACCATAACACTCCAAAAAGACTATAGCTACTATCGTACTCTAGTAGTAAAATACTGTAATGCTATAACACCATCATACCTACAATACTGGAATACCAAAAAACTATAATGCCATAATACCATAATGCCATACTACCGACCATAGTAGCATAATGTCATAATACCATGATGCTCTAATGTTCTAATACTCCAATACTCCATAATCCAATATTCCCAAACTCCAATACTATAATACTCTAACACTCTAATACGCTAATACTCTAACACTCTAATACGCTAATACTCTAAGCTAGAACGCTAAAACATGACCTTATGATACTCTAAATACCAGAATATTATAGCACTGTAAGACATATTTCTTCAAGAACCCATAATACCTTGTGGCGCTAAACGTTGAAGTGCATGTGAATTATGTCCCCGTCAAATCCCCACGCGCAACCGTAATCTCAAGCAATGTCATGCCCATGTAGTCGCCTGCACGCACTACCAATAGTTGCCAAGTTGCATTCCATCATATGAGGCTGCCACACCTGGCCAAGCCACAAAGACATAAAGGTGCGCGGGGGAGTTCCCAAAAAAGCGAAGGTATCCTGTGTATTTCCTAGAATCTCATACTGTTTCAGAAGTACGCAAAGACTACGCAGGGAATGTGGGATTCGGAGCTGTCGGAGTTTACTTAAAATAGACCCACTTGGGGCCTGTATTCCATTATTCCATTACTTTACGACATTTCACGATGCCAAAAGCCCAGGCAGACACAAAAAGTCGATCGAAGCATGATGCCACAAGCCCCTATTTGTGGGCAGAATCACATCTCAGCAAGATCCATCATGAGAACGACGCCCAAAGGTACGGGAGGGACATTATAAACCCTCACAGCCACGAGAGTTCACCTGCTGCAGGGGATCTATCAAATTTGTAAAATCTTGCTGCAGCTTGTTACAGGGTTGGTACAGACTACGGCCAACTAGGATTCCCAAGGACCTGTTTGCCTCCTGCTTCTTGGCGACGCTCCCAACCAGGCCCAACTTGCCACCACACTCGTCAATGAACCACACCTTGACATTCAAACTAACACACAGATTATGCCTCCCAAGTTAACTCCTAAGCATGTAGCTGATTTGCGTATGTAGTTACCACACCTGTTATGGTTCTTACGAAGGGTTCGGCAAAAGAGGCTCCCCTTCTTGGAGCCTGTACGTAGATGGAGGTGCTGGTCAACCATCCGGTGAAGCCACGTGTCATCCAGCCGAGAAACCTGATAACCTTCGATGATGGCCTCGTCAGCTCCGCAGGTTGCTGTTGCACCCCAGCTCACTGTCACTTGACCTTCCAAGAACTACGGCTCGGGATTCAAGGCACAGTATCCGTCTTTTGGTTGGAGGTGAATTAACACATCAGTGAGCGTAAATCATCCTTTGGGAGGTTTGCTGCGCGTTGCGGAAGGAGCTGACCCTTTTCAAGCTGTTGTTCCCTGGTTATTCTGCAGTGCGCATAAGGTAGTGCGAACACGCTTTGATAACGGCTTTGGTCATGTCAACAAGTTCTCATTACTCAGAACGATTTCCACATGCGCCCTACAGCAAGAACTGTTTGAAGACGTCGCACAGTAGCAGATCGGGATGCGCACGACTTTTCTTCCAAAATACTTGCTGCAATGCCTGAAAACAGCTCCCGAAATCTGTTGCTTGTTGTGCTCGCTCTCGCACAACAGAGAACGAGGATCTCATCTGCAAATCCTACTATTCCGTTGAAGGAGCCACTCAGGCAGATGAAGGGTGCCCGTGGGCGCAATGGCTCAAGTTGAGCCTGTATAGGGCTTTGAAAAGACCCCAAAAAAAATTGCTTGCCGTAGGCTGTAGGAAAAAGCTTCGATCCACAATGGCATCGCATCGGCTACCCAAACGTCACAAGCATGGGATCCGCATGCAATGTTGATCAAAGTCCTAGAGCCATCACTTATCCCACAGGCGCTATGCAAGACGCTGTTTAGCTCGCTGCAGCCAGGGTTTCTTGTTGCCGCCGTTTCTTGTGGATCAACCGCGTTCCAAGCAGTTGCATTGGATTTTGTTCTGCGGGATGAAGTGGCTGGTTGAGACCTTTATTCACTTCCCCACTCATCGCTAGCTTCTTGGGTGCCGTGTTTCCACGCGGACTGTCTGGCTAGCAGGGCATTTGGCGTTCTGTTGCGAGCCGTTGGCCATTGGCAGCCAGCCTGCGTGTGGAAATATTCTGAACACCTCCTACTCATTCATTATTCAAGACCTTATTTGCTGTTGAAGGCGTCGCTGATTCCTGCCATGTTTCCTGCCCCGGTCCCACTCCCACGTGCACATGCCGCATTGTGTGGATGGATGACGGTACGTTTGTCAACCGATGCTGCGGGTAGTGTTCCGCTTTGACCCTCGTTCATACCACTCACTGTGGGACACTATGTGGACCGCAAACATCGAGAAGAACTGCAGACACCACGCAGGGCTCAGGGCGATACAGAAGATTCTGAGCTTCGACTTGCTAACCATTAGCTGCTAACCTTTAGCACTTATTTGGTCTTAGTCTACCAGTGCGAAGCAAGCGGCTAAACTGGTTGTAACCCGGCGCATCCCAGTCTTGCGCGACGAGCGTAGCGCAAGCTTGGCATGGTATGTCGCTGTCATTTGCAGGTGCAAGTCCTCCAACTGGACATAGCAGTCTGGCAGAGGCGTCTTCCTCGGCTCAGATTAAAACAGTTGCTGAGGGGTCCCCCGAAGAGTAAGCTTGAGGCAATGTTTCGGATGTGCGTGCTGCATGCCCCACAAATTGTTCAGTTCTGAGAAATTTCAAGCAAATGGAACATTCCCATGGGATGTGCAGCTGCATCTTCGACAAATGGGGTGTGGAGCACCAGGGTGGCATAAAAACCTGAGGCCTTAAACCCCGAAGTCCAAAAAAACAAGGACCGCACAACCCCACATGTGTAGCTTTACCAGAGACTCATCAGATGACAAAAGAGAGAAGGAGGACAAGAAGAAAGGATGGACATCAGAAACAAAAACAAAAAGGAAAAGGAGAAAAGAAACAAAGGTCAGGTGGAGCCAAGCCAACAAATTGTCGTGCATATCGATCAGTCGAGAGCGGGGGCGCAAAATAGAGCACCATGCATGCCATGCATACCATACACGCATCAGCCATCAGATATTAATTGTGACGCGGGTAGAGACACTCGAAGAAAGACGATCTGGAGTCGGTCCCCGAATCGTGCCCGGGGGTTCTATGGAAGATTAAAGTGCCGTATTTTGAAGGCGGAGAGAGACGATCTAGAGCCGGGCCCCGAATCAAGCCGGCTCGAGAGAGGAGTAAAGAGTAGCATTTTAGAGGAGTAAAGGGATGTAAAGGGTAGTAGGTAATCTAGAGTAGGGCCGCGAATCGAGAGGCCGGACGAGACGAGGAAGCACAGGAGGCAGCAGGCAGGCGAGAAGGAGCGAACGACCCGCACAAGAATGTGGGGAACAAGCTGTAGCTCCCAGACTTGGCCCTACAGCCCTCAACCTTGAATGATCTGAATGATCCACCGAGCATCACACTGGGCGTGGCCAGCAGGATGGGTCTGGGAATCTGCAAGACACCAATCTGTAGCCTGGGTACCTTGGCAGGTCCTCACCTTGGCTTAAGACATCGCTTCCAAGCTCAGGATTTGGGCTTTGGAGTCTAGCATTTAGCCATTTCTGAAAATCAGATGGACGTATGATCCTTGAAGCAAAGTTACAGGCTTGCATGACGAGTGGAGTGCAGAGGGCGTTTCTCATTGAACGGCTGGCGCAAGTCTGCTAGGGAGCACAGAGAATTTCTCAACGTTCGGGTGCCCCGCATGCCCCAAATCGAAGAAAGGATATTGGTGTGTTGCCCTTAAACCCTCATCCTTTTTTCTCGTTGAAAATCCCGAGGAACTCATCCCAGTCTGGTCTAGGAGTCTAGCTGGAAGACATTAAATGCAAAGGAATGGTGCAAAAGTGCTGCCTTAGGAAGAGACAACAAGAACAGCTGATTGGAAATCGAGGGAATTATTTTACTTGCTTGCATTCCTTGTAAGCCTTAAAGACGCTCCGACCTTTGCGACCTCAAGCGGCGTGGGATGCAAATGCTACTCCTTGTCACTTGGTCGACCCAAGTCGCATGCCGAAATCTTCTGCTTCAGCAACGGCTTAACGATGATCCATCATCTGATCAAATCAACAAAACTTCTGCCCGCACGCTACAACAGTCCGCGATCATTATGAACAAGAAACTCAGAACCCCAAAACTGCCTGCAAAAACCATTGTTTGCCACAAACGCGCACGCCTGACCTAGCTACTAACCGGACGAAATTCGAAACAACTTGACGGCCAAGCTCCTGACAAAAGCTTGTGCTAAACATCCTCTCAAATTCAGCCCCTACTAGCCTACTACCAGTATTAATAATTCCAGTCCCCCTGTCTGAACTAAAGGCAAACTCCGATTTCACACCGTCCGTCGTCATGACCAGGAGGCCGCATTCTCGCCAGCGACTATCGGCACTCCTCCATAGTATTTGCGGCCTGAATGATCTGCGCTAGAACCTCTCCAGTGTAGAATCCAATGCATTCCAAGCCGCAGGAAAGGATGGGCGCTGTGGTACTTGTGCTGGTGATCGAGGTACTTGTTGTGGATGTTCTAGTGAGTGAAGTAGTTGAACTGCTGCTAGTGGTTTGGGAGGTGGAGGTAGTAGTCGAAGAGGAGCTCGCACTTGAAGTGGTGGAAGTTGACGTACTGGAGCTGGTGCTTGAGGTGCTTGAGGTCGACGTGCTGCTGCTTGATGTTGTACTTGATGTGCTGGTGCTCGATGTGGCGGTGCTACTTCTGGATGTGCTGGTGCTTGATGTGCTGGAAGTTGACGCGGTGGTGCTTGATGTTGAAGAAGTGGACGTACTCGAACTGGATGTGCTTGTGCTTGATGTGGTAGCGCTACTACTAGTCGTGCTAGTGGTTGACGTGCTAGAAGTTGACGCGGTGGTGCTTGATGATGAAGAAGTGGACGCACCAGAACTGGCCGTGCTTGTGCTTGATGTGGTAGTGCTACTACTAGTTGTGCTAATGCTGGACGTGCTGGACGTGGATGTGGGGCTGCTTGATGTTGAAGAAGTGGATGTAATAGAACTGGATGTGCTTGTGCTTGATGTGGTAGTGCTACTACCTATCGTGCTGGTGCTTGACGTGCTGGAGGTTGACGTGGTTCTGCTTGATGTTGAAGAAGTGGACGTACTCGAACTGGATGTGCTTGTGCTTGATGTGGTAGCGCTACTACTAGTCGTGCTGGTGCTTGACGTGCTGGAAGTTGACGTGCTCGAACTGGATGTGCTTGTGCTTGATGTGGTAGCGCTACTGCTAGTCGTGCTGGTGCTTGACGTGCTGGAGGTTGACGTGGCGCTGCTTGATGTAGAAGAAGTGGACAAAGTAGTACTAGATGTGCTTGTCAAACTGCTGGATGTGCTTGTTGCGGATGTGCTGGAACTGGAAATGGTACTGCTTGAGCTTGTGGAGCTCGATGTGCTGGCGCTTGATGTGCTAGAACTTGATGATGTCGTGCTCGTCAATGTCTTGCTGCTGCTAGACGTGCTAGTGCTAGATGTGCTGGTGCTAGACGCGGTTGTTGTCGATGTGGAGATGCTTGTGCTGGATGTGCTGCTGCTCGACAAGCTGGAGGTGGATGTGCTGGAGGTTGATGTGGTGCTCCTGGAGGTTGAGGTGCTGCTTCTTGACGTTGTGGACGAAGAGCTGGACGTGCTTGTGCTTGAAGTGAGCGATGTCGTGGAGCTGGAGAAAGTCGTGGTGCTGCTTGTTGTCGAACTTGATGATGTTGCAGTTGTGCTTGTGCTGCTGCGGGAGGTGCTGGTGGTAGTTCTGCTGGTGCTCGTCGGCGTGCTGGAGGTGGTCGTCCGACTGGTCGTCGAGCTTACAGTAGTTGAGGTTTCTTCTGTGGACGTGCTGCTTGTGGTCGTGCTGCTTGTGGTCGTCTTGGTGTCTGTTGAAGACGTGCTCGAAGTTATGGTTGCAGAGATAGTGGTGCTGGTAGTTGGGGTGGTGCTGCTACTGGTTTGCGTGCTTGTGCTACTTGCCGTCCTGGTGGCCGATGTGCTAGAAGTTGTATGGCTGGAGCTTGATGTTGCGGATATTGTTCTAGAGGATGTCGAAGTGGAAGTTGCGCTGTAGGACGAGGTGCTGCTCGAAGTTGCAGTCTGTGATGTGGATGTTTTGGTGAAAGATGATGACGTCGTCGATGTCGGAGACGTTGTTGACCAGGTAAAACTTGTAGTGCTGCTACTCGTAATGGTGCTTGATGTGGAAGCTGTTGTACTCATAGTCCTTGTTCTGGTTGTGGTACTGACAGTTACGGTTGATGACGTGCCGGAACTTGTGGTAGTAGTTGTGGTGCCTTACGTGGCACGATTCTATTCGACTGATTCCAAAAATCGCCTTTGACTAGTCACGGACTCACCTGCGAGCTCATTTGGAAGCAGCATGCCCAAAGTTTGTGGGAAAATCATCTAGTGCGTTCAAGGATACACTCGGTAGGATGAACTTCTCGTATCAAGATTCCGCCATCCAATAAACAGTTTTGCGACAAAGTTACCTGCCAATCTGAACGTGTTGCTTACACTTCATAACAACTCAAAAGATCTAAGAGGACATTTGGGCACCACGGGCCAAATAAGCCAGCCCCACGTAACTGCACTGGTCGTCGAATGCGTCTGCGAACTGCAAGAGTAGAATGGCGATGATTCCTGCGCACATATGATTTGTTGATCATGACCCCGCTACTATTGATGAAGCAAAACCCTCCCTCTGCCACGAATGAAACTCAGGGTAGCTGTTGTTGGAAGAACCCTCAGACGTGCATGTTTGCTTGCAAGTTTTCTGCCCGGTCAACATTGGCCCGCGACATTTTACGAAGTTGATAGTTCAATCGACTGGGTTGGTTGGCGCATACAGTATCTACAAATGTTGTCTGGGATATACAAATCATATGTTGTGTATCTTTTACTGCTTGGCTCCAGTGCCATTGCGTAATCAATAAGTATAGTGTGGACACCATGGTGCAACATTGACTCATCATGGTGGATTTGAACACAACGAAAACCACGACTACTACTGGAACAACTCTTGCACGCTACTCAGCCTTGTGCCTTGGTTCGTTAGCATGGTTGTGTCTCAAACCTTTTTCTTCAATTTTTTGAGCAGAACTTTCCAAGAAGACGTTTGGGACACGTTTATGCAGCAAGGATGGGCCCTCTTGGCTGCAATCTGTTGCGTGCCTAAACTAACAGAACCCTGTGGGCAAGCCGCCTTTGGACATCACGTGGCCCTTCCAGATGTAGACCTGAAACATCAACACGGGAAGACCAACCATCTGCAGGTCAAATTGCGCCCGCCCCCACAGACCTTGAACACATCCAATTTGAGCATAACCGAGGCCCAGGCGAACTGAGATATTCGCCAGCAAAGGCAATGTCGAACGTCGCATGCAGTCGCATGCTAATAAATTTGGTGGCCCACTCCCTCAAATCGGGTCCATAAAACCAGAAGTACACTGGCAGGTGTTTGGCATTGACACAAATGGCGAGGGATTAACTCGATCTGCGACAACAGAAGGCCATGTACGGAAGACTCCTACATCTATCCTGACACATGCAAAAACTATGCACTCATTCTCTTGTGTTCCTTCATGTGCTTGACCCGTGTGCTTCTGGGCAATGCTACTTGCAATTGTCCACTGCACACCCAAGCTGAGCCACCACACAAACAGCGCATTCGTGGCGGCAACTGCAAGCTCTGTGAATGCGCAGACAATTTGCAGCACGCGCATGCCAAGAAACAACCGCCGTACCCATACAGGCAGTATTGCGATGTAAGCTTTGCTTTGACTTAACTTAGGACCATGAGGCCTTGTATGGTTTGCGCATTGTTGATGCGTTGCGGCTGTGTGTTTGGCCCTCACCCCAAAGAACGCATTTTTTTCCATCAGACCGTACAAAATGCCAAACACATGTACAAAGATGTAGCCTAGAACGCAAACATCGCCGCTTCTCATAGTGAAATGAAACTCCTTCACAACACGGGCCCGTGGTTCGTGATGTTCGTGTTGCGAAACTCGAAGACTATGCCTGGCCCTTGCAAATGCGGATTTGGACGGGGCCGTGCAAGCTGAAAACGACCAACAAGACTTAATTACGTGGAACTCCCACTTGCGAACTGTTTGGCCTGCACGGTTCGTCTCGCGGTAAGACATTGCGAGCTCGCAGCGCTCCAACACATGCAGCCCCACGAGTGGTTTGACTGGGCAGCGGAAGAGCTGCCCTACAGGCATTGTACGCATTGCCCAAGGAACAAGATATCATGTTCGGCAGCTTTGTGTCCCACTGCAAACTGAAAATTCCGGGAGGAAAACAGCTTGGATGGTCAACGTGGGGCGCTGCTGCTTGTCGCAAGGTGGTGATGCGGCGTTTTGCGCCTTCACAGTTGCCACCCTCCAGCCCAGACACGGCACTGACCTCCTGGACGAACTCGGGGACCACCGCGCATGCACCCAAGTCGGCGCGCTGGCCCGACGGGCGGCCCCGCTGGAAGAGCGGTGGCAACAAACGAGCCCCATGGGACCTGAATCTCGACCGGTCGGTGGGCGGACGCGCGTTGGATTGAGACGCTCGCAAGGGTTCCTCCTTTTTGAACTGGGGGCACTCATCAGCCGCAGCACATTGACATTCCCCGGCCCTCTCGAAAGGGCGGTGGCGCGCCAGTGGGCGCTCCAGTCCTGTTGCGTGATTTTTTGCCGGGGCGGGCGGAGAGCCTTCAACTGACAGCTGGCTGCTGTGCTGAGCCGGCTGGTTGCAGCTTGCAGCGGCTAATCACAAGCCACAAGGAAATGACAATCCGTGCAGCCGGAAAAGGCGTGAAAAACAAAAAAACACTTAGCGGCGTTTCCAAAGTCCGTGGGTGCCTCCCTGGGTGGGACTTCTCTTGTGGACGATTTTTGAACCATACATCCTCCAGCGGCTATGGTAAAACAAACTCTGCACAGTGACGTGGCGCGAGCAAGCGCCAGAACTGTAGCAACACACGGGCTGCTCAACAAAAATAGCCATTTGTCGAAGTACTTGGACCGGCACTCGCAATGGGAACCGCCATGGGGCGTCTACGCTGGGTTACCGGCTAGTTTGCTATCAGCAACCCTACAAGCCCCTCAGCAGCGGGAGTCGGCGGTGGTTCTGTCAGCCCGTTCGGGCGCAACATGGCGCAACGGCGCGGGAGGCGCGCAGCCGAGCGCTGTGCTTGCGACCGCTTGCTGCACCGCGCCAGCAAGCCCCACCAACGCCTTAACATGCCTCGACCACCCCACTGCAGCGGCTGTCCTGACAGCAGGCGGGGCGCGGTGTCCGCGTACACGCACCAGGCCCCGCACAAAGCGCGTCGCCTCGCCATTCCAACTACGGACCCCAGCACAAGGAGGCGTTGGGGCCCAGCTCGGCGCAATTCGGGGTAAGTGTTGTGTTCGCACAATCCTTCTCCTCTGCTTTCGACTGTGAGGGACAAGACACGTGTTTGCGCCGCTCGGCTGCGCGGAGCGCAGGCCCGTCCGTCTCCGCGGCTCCGGGCTGTGGCTGGCTTGCGCGGGTGAATAAGGGGACAAGTGTTTGTTTTTTTTCTCCTTCGCGCCTGTTTGCGTCTGCCGCGGTTGTCGGGTTCCCCCCTTTATCGCAGCGGCAGCTTGCTGGGCGCCGGATCGGCAGCAAGCTGTAGCACCTCCGCCATGGGCAGCTCCTCGTCTGCGTTTGGCAGCGCGGGCATCGTCCAAACGCCAAGGGCAGTGCTGCACGTCGCGCACTGGATTGCGATTTGTTTTTTTTTCAACAGACCTTTTTGCAAACAGTTCAGCGCGGTCCCAATGCAGGAAGCTCACGGAGAATGTGAGCGGCACGGAGGTGCTCGAAATCCACAAGTCCACCGGCAGGGCAGGGCCTATTAGGGTATGCGGCTGGCGAGAGGAGGGACTTCAGACGAGTCGCTCATGAGAGGCAAGTTCCCATCAACATTGCCCGCGCCGGCCGGAAAGGCGGAGCAGGCTGGCAGCAAAGGCACGGGCAGCTGCGAGGGACAACACGGCCGACCAGCGAAGTGCGAGGGCGGAGGTGCAGGCTGCACGAGAAAAGGCTGGCACAGCGCGAGCGCGGCAGCGCGCGAGCTGGCGTACGAAGGTGGATGCTTCGGAGCTCCACCGGCCACCGACTTCGATGCCAAGGACTGTGAGATGGCAACGCCGGGAGGCAGCGAGCTCAGGGTACGCCCGCTCCTTGGCACGACGAGCAACCTGGAGGGCTGCTCCCGCAGTGTGGCCTCGGATGCGGCGCGGAGCAAACGTGAGCGGTGCGACGAGCGTAGTGTCAACGGCAACCTGTGCTCCATTCCAAAGAGGAAGGCCATTGGCGATGACCTCAATCCAACGCTCGTCTAGCCGCCCCGGCTCAACATTCAAGTCCCGAAGCATGACGTGCTGCTGCACCGTGGCTCCAGCTTCGCGGCAGACGCGGACTGCTGCCCCCTCAAGAGGCCCGCCACGGGAACACCGCACCCCAGAGCGTGGGCATGCTGCAACGTGGTCACCGACGGCGTCCAAGCCACGTCGGCAGCGGCAAGCTGCAGGAGTCATTTGAAGCAACCAAGAAAAAAAAGGGACGACCTAAGCAAGTCCCTGTATGAAGTCCATGGCGGCTTAAGGCCGCTCGACAAGCAGCTCGCCCAATTTCATTGTTGTCGATTGGTTACAAATTGTTTGCCACAGCATTGCTTCAAAGATTGCTCGCCGCTGGGGCGAAGAGCCGCATCTGGCACACCCTGTTCGGTTTTATATCCCAGCAAGGCACTGCGGATGCGATTTTTGTTGCCAAACCACGTGTGCCACATTGCGTGACATTTACAAGGGCAGACGTTTCACAGTCAGAGATGGGAGACATCAGTCACGCCCACATGCACAGCAAGTTAGTATTTCACAGGGATGCCTCTTGTCGCGGGGCTACCTATGGCCTTGTGTTCAACTGGCGGAAGCTGGAAATATTACCGAGTGGATGCGATGCGTTCATTTCCAAGCCTGGCGGTCAATTCATTCAGTGTGAAAAATCGATTTCATACTTGGGCGCATGGCTGGTTCAGGGGGTGCAGACTTTCTGCGCTAAGCCGGGTGTGAAAGCATTAATCCTTACCAATGGGGCGAAAAAATCTGTATTTTCAATGCGCGCGTCGCTTCTCAA